TACATTTCCATTTTTGGAGAGGATATAGGATCTACACAGCCAATAAAAAGTTCAGCGACTAAGTGACTTGCACCATAAAAAAAATGATATATTTACTATATGGTGAATTAATTTACTTTTTGCATTGTGCTATGTTGAAAAAATGGATCAGCACTTTTTGCATCACAGAATTATATATAAATAAAGTAAAAAAAAACAATATTATTTAAAAATTAATATAGTTTAGTGTAGTAAAATGTGATTATAGACATAAATTTGGGATTTTTTCACTGATTTATTCGCATGTCATCAATTAATACATTAATGCCATCACCACTACCAAAACCAGTTGCTGCTGATGCCTTGAAATATCAATCACCATCATCATCATTGACAATGTTGAGAACATTTTCCCAAGATAAACTTTATTCTATAAAGAACAAAAGCAAAATCCTGATCCTAATACAGTCCAGTATATTATGCAATACAGAAATACTGAATACTGCAATGATCTATGTTCTAGAATTAAAAATTATCATCATGAAATTTTGCTTTTGGTTGATTTATTAACCTTCATCAGTTATAACTATAGCATCCAATACTGCGTAAACATTTATTTTATTCTCGAATTTACTTGATAGATAAAGATGAGACAATGGAATGTTCCTAATTATTAAATAGGAAATAAAATCATAGATTAATATTTTCTTTTTAAAAAAATTTGTTTAAAATTTAAAAGAATAATTACTCATTTTTCATCATAAAATGAATTTGAAGTTCATTTTTAAAACTTTTAGTAATATATAAAAAATGCTATTTAAAAAAATACAAATGAAAATTAATTAATTAATATACAATAATAATAGTAATTGTAATATTTAACTAATGAATTGGTTAATTGACATTGACTAATTGGTCAGTTACATACTTTGAATGTCTTCCTCAATACTGTACAATTAACAGGCTGCATAAGATTATATATTGTAAAATTGGATCGAGGAAATATCCGTTTAGCTTGAAACATAGCATTTGATCCTATGTATATACATATATATATATATATATTTGATGAAAATTCATAAATTAATTCCAAAATTTCAAACTTTAAAATCTTTAAACTAATGATTTAACAAATTACCTCTATGCCGATCATAAGGATTTTTTACACTTTCAATGCTCGTTGCATCAGGATGAAAGGTTAATCTTATTTCTCTGGTATATTTATGAATACCTTCAATAATATGTTTTAAAATTT